TGCGTAGCTTCTTATAAGCCAAAAAGGCGCGTGGCTTTTTTCTTAAAACAAAGGTGCATTGATTTTTGTACAGTGTATATGGATATTAGTAGATAGGTATTAGATTGGTGTGTCCTAGTGTAGATTGTTGTGTAAAATGAAAAACCCTATAGAGAAATACATGTAACTGGCTTTACAAGTTTATTGAAAGTTGTAATATATGACAAAAGGGTAAGCATTTTGTATAGTATTTTTTTTTTCTTTTATGTGGTATCAATAAAAGGTTAGATTGTAGGTTTCAACAATCTTGGTTGACCAAAGTAATTTTTTTTAGTTACCGATAGTCATAACTCATAACAACTCAATGAACACTGAAAAAAACATCATTTCATGTTATATACATATAAAACAATTACGTTTCTTTTATAAAAGGTTTAACTACATATATCTTTTCACCGATTGCCATTAAATTGAATGTCCAACCTAATGATTCATATACAAGTTTCGAAAAAATTGTTAATAGTTTAATACATATGATATGGTACCCAAAATGTATATTAAAACAGTAGGGATCCGTGATTTAAGGTAGGTTCGTAATTGGACAAATGAAGGTGGCCCTTCATATCATGTTTGGATCTTCTTACATGCTCACCTTTTAAATTATTCTATTTTTACTTTTACATATTTATTATAATAAAAACAAATATAAATGTACCATCATTTTTTTTCTCTACAAATAGATATCATAAAAATGTGAGTAAACTTATAAAAACTAATTTGAGATCAAGTAAACAAATATATATGATTTTTAAGGGTCCTTTTAAGATCATGTGTAAGGATTCTGGTCGGATTCTTCAATTTTTGAGGGGTTTCTTCATGGACACCGATGAGGTGATGGTCCTCAGAGGATAATGATGTCAGATGAAAGAGATACATAGAGGATGAGATTGATGGTTTGCTTCGTCGAGTTTAGAAGTGAACGGGATCGGGTGAGGTTAGAGGGTGAAGGGTGGTGGGAGTGGGAGTGGGAGTGGGAATGGGATTGTGTCTATTTATCTTATTAAACAGTAACAAATTATAAATATATAATTACATAATGGTATTATGGTCATTTCAGATATAATATGGACTGAATCGCAAAAAAACATCTTATAGGGACTAATCATGTAAATTTTAAACATATAGGAAATTGTCCGAATTTCCCACTTACAACAGGGAATCATTTCATTTACTCTTTCTTAAATTTAGTCCAATTATTTTCACTTTATACATCTTCTGAATGGAGCCTCGCGGCGGATAACAGATTTTGGTCTTTCCGTCTTTTGGATAAAATATCTGAAAGCAAGTTGTTTATAAGCGACAATTATGGGCATCTTCGACACCCCAATCAGTACACTTTCCTTTAAAATATTCATATATGTTTTTTAGTAAATCGTATAACAAAATAAAATTTTGATCATAAGTATAAATAATGTAGCGATATAATATTTTTCATTCAATAACTTGTTACTTCCGTCTTCAAAACATTAAGAAACTAATTATTTTGACTTCGAAACGCAATAATGTGTTTTGTAGCACATGCAAACACCCCCTAAGCTATTATGCAGTTACTACTTGATTGCAATTTTTAATATACTTCTTATTATTTTAGCAATTCATGTAAACTACTCTTTGAAATCACTCTTTCCCAAGTTATATTTGGTTTGGTTGAGAAAAACAAGCACCGTATGGTTATGGACATATACACAGGGGCAGATTCGAGGTAGCAGTGGAATTGAGATTGGTCTCGACAGTTAAGATGTGGAAGGGAGATGCTTGAGTTAACATGTAACGTCCCAAAAATTACAAGATATATTTTTCATTTAAAATAGGTTAACCAATAAAAACCATTATTATATATATATATATATATTAAAGTTATGAAGAAAAGGAACAGTTAACCTGAGACATTTTGGCCAGTTTTCGTCCCTTAAATTACATTTCCGGTCCCTCTATTTTTGTTTGTGTGTCACTTTGTTAATTTATATATATTAAAGGAAGATCTAGACCACTTCTTTTGTTAAAATACAATTTGCCCCTGTAACCCTCATATCCCACATTCCCACCGATCCACATTCCACCGCCTCTTTCTACCTTCCAGGACCTTCTACATCCAGTATCGGCTCTCTCTCTCTCTCTCTCTCTCTCTCTCTCTCTCCCACCGTCATTATCTCGACTTCTCCATGGATGCCCTGCGTTTTGTACGTCGTCTTTCGGCGCAGTGGAGCCGGACGTGGTTCAGTCTCTGCTCCAAATCATACACTTCTCTTTCTTCATCGTCTCCCCCGGTTCTCCATCGTTACTATTTCGTGTTTGCTTCTTCCAGAAAAGCACCGCCGTGCCTCCGCCTCAACTGTGATGGATGAAAGGGGCTGCTCCGGTAGCGGATCGCGAAGGGGAGGAGGGAAAAATTGGTGGTCCCGTGGTGGTTCTGTGATGTTGAATCGAAGAAAAAGAAAACAAAATCAGCAACTGTAAGGGTCGGATGGAGGCTCGCCACAATCGGTTAGGTCATCGGTCCTTCTTCTTCTCCACTTCGTTGGTTCCAAACAAAAAGTTTCTTTGAGTTCACAGAGGTGTTTCGATTGTTGTTCAAATCGACAGGCACGATGGAGGAAAAAGAGAGAGGTTGGGCAGGTGCGTCAATGAGTTCTGCTCCGGTAGCTCCCCTGATCCTCTTCTTCTTTTTCTTTTTGTTGTTTTTTTATTTATTTAAACAGAAATGGAACAAAATGGATTGTTTGGATTTGTTTGTGACAGAATTTGATAGGGTTGTTGTTGACAGAATTTGAAATGTTTGGGATTGTGCTTCTTAACCGATTCATAGGGGTGTTTGTGTCGTTTGTTTGATAGGCAACAAAGAAGAAAACGGAATAGAGAAATAAATGAGTAATGAGTATTAGGGAAGCTTGTGGGTGTACTTCCAATCTGGAATGGCACATGATCCAATCTCCACAGATTACAGTAGATTTCAACAAAGATTTTGATTGTACAAACTATATTTTTGAAAGGTATTATAGATTACTTTGTAAAATATAATATGGAAAATCTTATATTAGTTGTTTTTCTTTTAAAAAAAAGACTTCTGATCCTTTTATTTTCTGAAGGTTTGTATGCAATTTAGCTTCTGTTTGCTGAAATCATAATTTAGGGATTTGATGATTGGTATGAACTACATAAGTTACTACAGGATA